TTTAAATATTTGAGATGGTATTCCGAAACTCCGATGGATTTTCAAGTTACTTCCCTCATTTAACAATGTTTTCTCGAGTCGTCAAACAAAAACACGAAGGGAATGCTTGTGAAGAATTACCCCTGTCCGCGACCGGTAAAGCATACGTCTACAGGCACCGATACATAGGAGAAATTGAATAAGTTATAAACAAGGTATAGCTCTTCACCTTTCAATGTCAGGCTGTTCACCATTCCACAAAGCCTACAGTTTTGGAATTTTTGTTTTTGTTCTAATCTTTATGGGACGATCGTTTCTTTCGATTCAGATAAAATTAATACAGCTGTAGCATTTTGCATCCTTTATCACAACATGACAAAGGGATATGACAGTCGTTTCAAGGATAAAGCTATATGTTTATATAGAGCATCTTTGACTACACAAGAAAATATACAAATCCATATCGTACAGACCAGTACACAATAATACGTAGACAGATAGCACTATTGCTCACATCTATAAAAACAGTACATCACGATTTATACATTGTGATACATATATAAATGTCAATATAAATGTAATACAGTGTTATATTTATATATAGTGACCTAAACCAGTACATCACAAGTTATACATTGTAATACATATATATATGTCAATATACATGTAATACAGTGTTATAAATTACATATAGTGACCTAAACCAGTACATCACGAGTCATACATTGTAATACATATATAAATGTCAATATACATGTAATACAGTGTTGTATATGTAGTGACCTAAACCAGGACATCACGAGTTATCCATTGTAATACATATATACATGTCAATATACATGTAATACAGTGTTACATTTATATATAGGGACCTAAACCAGTACATCACGAGTTATACATTGTAATACATATATATATGTCAATATACATGTAATACAGTGTTATAAATTACATATAGTGACCTAAACCAGTACATCACGAGTTATACATTGTAATACATATATACATGTCAATATACATGTAATACAGTGTTATATTTACATATAGTGACCTAAACCAGTACATCACGAGTCATACATTGTAATACATATATAAATGTCAATATACATGTAATACAGTGTTATATTTACATATAGTGACCTAAACCAGTACATCACGAGTCATACATTGTAATACATATATAAATGTCAATATACATGTAATACAGTGTTATATTTACATATAGTGACCTAAACCAGTACATCACGAGTTATACACTGTAATACATATATAAATGTCAATATACATGTAATACAGTGTTGTATATTTAGTGACCTAAACCAGTACATCACGAGCTATACATTGTAATACATATATACATGTCAATATAAATGTAATACAGTGTTATATTTATATATAGAGACCTAAACCAGTACATCACGAGTTATACATTGTGATACATATATAAATGTCAATATAAATGTAATACAGTGTTATATTTATATATAGTGACCTAAACCAGTACATCACAAGTTATACATTGTAATACATATATATATGTCAATATACATGTAATACAGTGTTATAAATTACATATAGTGACCTAAACCAGTACATCACGAGTCATACATTGTAATACATATATAAATGTCAATATACATGTAATACAGTGTTGTATATTTAGTGACCTAAACCAGTACATCACGAGTTATACAATGTAATACATATATACATGTCAATATACATGTAATACAGTGTTGGATATTTAGTGACCTAAACCAGTACATCACGAGTTATACATTGTGATACATATATAAATGTCAATATAAATGTAATACAGTGTTATATTTATATATAGTGACCTAAACCAGTACATCACGAGTCATACATTGTAATACATATATAAATGTCAATATACATGTAATACAGTGTTGTATATTTAGTCACCTAAACCAGTACATCACGAGTTATACATTGTAATACATATATACATGTCAATATAAATGAAATACAGTGTTGTATATTTAGTGACCAAAACCAGTACATTATGATATACAGCCATATTAATACAATTCAGTATTATATTTATAAAGAGCAGCTAAAGCTATACAAAAATATAGGTATTTTAAAATTATAGATGGTTATATCAACGTAAAGGTCCTAAAACTTTTATAAAAAAATGTCGACTGATGAATATTTAAAAAAAGTAAAATATCTTGTCTAAAAAATCATGTTTACCCGAAGGTATGTCTTTATTTGTAAATGTTAAAACGTCAATTAGCCACGTTCCACATTCAGTAATAGTCACTGGAGTAGGACATTAATGTTCTGGGCGAGACGAACGCTCCGTCACATTATCCTGGTTCGTTTCGTGTAATACTGACTATTACTAGGTTTCTCTCCATGTCACAGCTACAGTACCCCGATGTTTAACTTTCATCGATCAATATTTCTGTAAGTTGACAACAGCTCTTATTGTTTACAACTATATAGCTTCAGCGCCGCATTGTATATTAAATAACACTGATAAAAGAAAGTTGGAAAACAAAAACGTAAATATTTGATATCTCAAATTAATTAAGAAAAAAATGTTTTTTGATGTTTCAAATATATTTATACAAATTTCCTGAACATTTTTTAATAAATCAGATAACAGGCCCACTTCGTCACATGACATTAAAAACATTTTGTCACCGATTTAAATTTAAAGCACTTGATATGAATTGCTGCTCCCCTAATTATGCCCCTTAAAAAGTACATATATGTATTGTGCATACGAAGTAGTATGGAAACGGACAGATATGTATTGTGTGCACGGAGTAGTATGGAAATGTACATATATGTATTTTGTGTACGGAGTAGTATGGAAATGTACAGATATGTATTGTGTGTACGAAGTAGTATGGAAATTTACATATATGTATTGTGTGTACGAAGTAGTATGGAAATGTACATATATGTATTGTATGTACGAAGTAGTATGGAAATGTACATATATGTCTTGTGTGCACGAAGTAGTATGGAAATGTACATATATGAATTGAATGTACGAAGTAGTATGGAAATGTACATATATGTATTGTATGTACGAAGTAGTATGGAAATGTACATATATGTCTTGTGTGCACGAAGTAGTATGGAAATGTACATATATGCATTTTGTGTACGGAGTAGTATGGAAATGTACATATATGTATTGTGTGCACGAAGTAGTATGGAAATGTACATATATGTATTTTGTGTACGGAGTAGTATGGAAATGTACATATATGTATTGTGTGTACGAAGTAGTATGGAAATGTACACATATGTATTGTGTGTACGAAGTAGTATGGAAACGTACAGATATGTATTGTGTGCACGAAGTAGTATGGAAATGTACATATATGTATTGCGTGTACGGAGTAGTATGGAAATGTACATATATGTATTGTGTGCACGAAGTAGTATGGAAATGTACATATATGTATTTCGTGTACGGAGTAGTATGGAAATGTACATATATGTATTGTGTGCACGAAGTAGTATGGAAATGTACAGATATGTATTGTGTCTATGAAGTAGTATGGAAATGTACATATATGTATCGTGTATACAAAGTAGTATGGAAATGTACATATATATATATTGTCTATACGAAGTACTATGGAAATGGACATATTTAATTAGAAATACAACTTTACTGCTATTGCTATGTAGGTATACATGTCTTTGTTTATTAGGAAGCCCTTATTAAATCAGATAACAAGGGAATACCGAATTGTCAACAAAAACATGACTCGATTAAAATCGATAAAACTAAGGCAAAACTAGGAACAAAGAGATATCGATACGGAGACCATTGAAGTCCGATTTTGTCGTTGCGAGCTACACGTTATGGTTCGACACTGATATCCATCTTTATTAACTGTGGAATCAATGACTTTTTCAGTTACCGACCTTTATAGCTCAAATTCATTCTTGCACGTTACATAAAGTATTCTGGTGAAATGGTGCAGATATAGACAGAAAACTGACGATTTATACACTCGGTAGAACTCTACAGGGATTATACTACACAATACTATATAACAAACGACTTCCTGTGTTTGATAGCTACACGGTAAATACGATACATGCAAACAATAACAGGCGAGTTTCTCCATAGCCTCTGTAACTGCTGATTAATTCTATCAGCGTTATCAGCATCTTGTTACACAGTCTCTTCATCCAACACCCATTGAGTAAGGTAACCTAAAGTAGATATGGGAGAAATTGATTCAGCTGTTTCTAGAGATTTTCATATCTACATTTCAGACTCGTTAGACAGTGATGAACATAGATATTGAGCCTAGTCTGTTAAAACCATATATATTACATCATGCATGTACATTGTACGACTATATATCGACTGAAATATACACAATTACGTACATTTTCATGCATAACAACCGTATATGTTACCTTAAATGTTAATGGTAACAGGGTACGCCTGACATCGACCCTCACAAATTTCAAACAAAATGAAGGCTGGACAGTTTTAGTATATACAAGATATTATATAAAGTAAGTTTTTCTTCCTGTTTCTTTTCGAGACTGTATATCCATATCACGCCTTTATATAAAACACTTCTTTATAAGGTAATGAATACCGCATGCCGAGAAAGTCTGGCCGCAGTCCAATTTTTGCCTTTTCGCCCTCCCTGATAAGAGCTAGTACTAATCTACAGCACACCATATATAGAAACTACAGGTAGAGTGTACACAAATAAATTCACTGCGCAAATATGATTTTACATATGTCTGTACAACGCGCATGCAATCATGTAGGTGCTTTACCCCTTACCTTAGCAATAATAGAACATGTTTGCCAGTCCAGTAATACATCCTGATCTTTACGAATTCGTGTTGGTGCTTTTATTTTGTTTCGTATTAAAATATTATCTAGGAAGACTAGAAAATATTATGAAATGTTCCGACCTTCATTTGTTCCAACAAAACGTTTCGATCTGGAGTAGATTACTTGCTAATTTGTTACGGATAAATTTGCCGTGACATTGTTTTTAACCAGAACGATCTTCAATGTACTCCAGTACCTTGACCTTACTTGACTTTCCATCCAATGTAACCCACAGCTCCCCTTGTTTCCCGAGTCCGATACTTATCACAGGATGTTTGTCTATGTGAATGGTTCTCATGGCTTTTTCGGTCATCATGTCTATCAGAAAGATAGTACGACCATCAACAAGCACAAGGTTACCTCCCTTGTCGAATTCAATATCACATGTTTGTTTGCGACTTTTACTCCAGTTTTTAACTTTAGCGTTGAATGTCTCCACGCTGAGTTTGATGCCTTCTTCAAATTCCTTGTCCATCACCTGGACATGCCGATTTCCTTGTCCACCGTCTTCTTGAAGGTCCCGGTCCACGAACGCCAAGTTGCCTGTCAGAGGACATTCCGTAATTTTGCTTGGTGTGAAGACAAATGGCTTTCCAGAGGCGGACGCGGTAGTCGTAAGGATATGTTTTCCATCTGGTGCGATTTTGGCTATCTTCCCGGTCATTCCTAGCAGAATACAGCCGTCATTTCCAAAGTGCAAACACAACGGTTTTATCGTTGCCTGGTAATGGAAAACCCGTGCACCCGTGGACAGGTCAATGATCCCGTTATCATCAAATGTATACAGTTGGTGAGTTAAAGGATGGACCAGGATCGCTCTGATCGGCACGTCGTATATCCGTTGTTGCTGTATCTTTCCTGTTCTGTCAAGAAGCGTTATCTTGTTGTTTAAAAGACTCCACGCCACGTCGCCTGTGGGACATATTTGAGCTATCTTCTTTGGCGATTTGAACTTTGTAAGTACATTTGTTTCTGGAAGAACGGCGTACTGCGAACGAAGAACAAAAAGGTGATGATCTAGAAAGCGTCCTTCTGACGGGGTTTGCAGTTGCCATGGCGACGTTGTATTGTTTGACAGATTCAGACTTTCAGTAAATCCATTTGTCAATGTATCAAGGTCTTGCTGAAGGTAATCTTGGTGGTTCTTCTGTGGAGTACATCTTGGAACATCGCGATCTGTCAACGTTGACAAGTTCTCAATTGGTTTTACATTGACTGTCTTATCAAACATGTGTCCATCACATGGGTCGTCTCTTAATAGTGTTTTGTATTCCAGTAAATATCTTAGTAAGTCTCCTTGTGTCATTTCCAGCTCCCTGCTGTATATTTGTCTTGTTTCCATATTTCTTGCTTTGAAGTGGTGGTACTCAGAGAAGCGCCTGACTTTGAGAATATCAATATCGGCCTTTATGTTGTCGCATTGTTTTTTCAAATAGCTTTCGAGATCATCAGAACCCTTTTCATCTTGCTTGAAAATGTCCGATGTAGATGAAATACGTTGTTGTATTTCGGCCATTTGTTGATCTTCAGTGCTGTCAATGAAATGGTGAATTTCATGTTTCCTCAGTGGCGTAATTTCACCAAGACTGACAAAAGTGTGACCAGTATGAGCAGTTGGAACGCACTCAATGCACACGAGGTCCATACAAACTTCACATAAAAGTTCCAGACTTTTTGACGGATGATACACACATGTTTTCTGTCCCTTCCATCTTTTTTCTGTCTGTCCTGCAGTCATGTGTTTTATACCACCCATTTTTGTGAATAAAACCATCTTTAACAATGTTTGTGCCTTGTCCGGGAGACGGAGCGAGTAGTAACCCAGGTTTGTTGTGATCACGAGGTAATTATGCAACCTTATATATGTACCTTATATATGTCATTAATGTGTTGCAACGTGTCTGTATACCGACGGCCTCACTGTATGGGACGTGGTTATCCATGCATAAACCTTTTTCTAAAATATCTTATTAGGGGTGCTTTAATCTTTTCCGTCTTTTAAGCTTTAATCAGGCGTTAATGAAATGTGCAGAAACCTAACAGTTGACAACCGTCCCTTTATTGGCCTTTGAATATAGAGCGAGTTTGATACACGGACGTAGCGGTACATTAACAGGTAACATCATCGTAACGTCTATTAATACAAGTTTATCAAAACGCGTTATAGTACTATGTACAGGCAATATGTACTCACCTGTAATACTGATATATAATGATATATCAATTCAACCTTTATTTATTACGTTAACGGCGTGTTATTTATGTAATATATATACATACATGTATCATAATTTACGTTGCTGAAGATTCTAAAGACACAAACCAGTCACTAGAAATATGAAATACGAAAACAACAATTTAAAATTTAATGTAGAAAAAATAAACTCAGTGAATCTATACGGTACAATATGGCTACTTTGCCAAATACAAAAACTTTTATCTTAAGTGTTCTGAAATATTCAGAAATACAGAAAAAGAGGACTTTACAACGTTTGTCAAAACATACACTAATATTTACATTCTGTATGCTTAGACCCATTGACAAAAATTACATTCATAAATGCATAACACAGGTGTTCATAGAATCTCAGCACGTGGAAACTGATAGTAACCTGATCACACTGCGTAGTAATACACTACAAAAACTACTCACTCGGAACGACCGACCTAGATGCTTAATTCTTACATCTTAAAATATTATTGAACTGTGCTTTGTGAAATATCCACGTATTTACGTGTCCTGTGCTACAAATAAACATTGAATATGGAACTACATTTTGTTGTGTTATTGTTGTTGACGGTTGCTAAGATCTCTCACGATAGTGTCACATTTCCCCGCGAAAAAACACTGTTCTCGCCACTGCGTTGCACCCGTGTATAAGCAGGAACAAACCCTGTTTATTTGTTTTATTCGTTGTTATATCGATCCACTGAAAGGATTCGTCAATGTAAATATAAGGAATGATATTTATTTTTTCAACATTTATGAGGTCATAACAACAATGGGTTTTTGGACATATTTTACATGAATCGCTAACGCGATTCATTCAATATGTCCATAAACCCATTGTTGTTATGACCTCATTAATGTTGAAAAAATAAATATCATTCCTTAAGTAATGACATAAGATTCACGCTATATATAGGGACATCAACATGATACTAGGATGCACGTTGATATCTTATGTCACCCATATTCCGCCTGGTACAGTGTCCTATAATGTACCCTGAGGTTTATCACTTATTGTACAAGGTACAATATCGATGATGTGCCTGGGAGGACAAAACATCTGAAATTGCATTTGCATATGTGTAATGGACGCTAGCCATGATATACTTAAAGAAGTTAAAGAAGTTTCAAAGGGAACGCTCAAGGTAACCAAAACTAGCAAAGGGGTATAACATTGTCAAAAAACTGTATGGGCGATCGGGTTTCTAGATAGATAGCGCACTGGTCTTTCAACAAGACGACATGGGAATAAGACCCCATATGCTTACATTCGACCCAACAAGAATCATTCATCAAAGTTTTTAAACAAAATCTGTTTTAGGATTGTTGTTAAAGACAATTTATTGTAAAGCGCAAAACAATACTACGTATAGAAAGAAATCTGACCTCGGCTTCATGATTATAGGGCATTTATACGTTCGGCGCATGATGGAAAACTACCAAAAAAGTCATTGTTCATGATTGAATAAAGTATTAAGTTATTCTAATTGCCTTGCTTAATACATGTAGCTATCAAAAACAAATAAACAGATTAGCACTTAATACAAAATGTTCATGTTTGTGTATTTAAAAAAAACACGAAGTGTCAACAAAACCATAATTTGAGCTCAAAATCGATAAAACTAAGGCAAAATATAAACATCGACAGCATACCTTACGTAAATCTAGGTCACAGTAATGTCACGTCCTCACAAGGAGAATAGTGACACCAAAACCACACGACAAACTGATCAACCTGAATCTTTTGTAACCCTGTGTTTCAAGTTTATCAGTCAGCTGTCGACATCTGTCACTAAAGTCACGATATACGGAGCAAGGTCTTGAATAGAAAATCAAGTGCGACATGTAAACATGGATGTTACTATAACGAAAAGTAAACGATCACGACAAGGAAGTCGGAATCGTCCCAATTAGGTTACAGCTACAGTGTAAGTAATAATCCACGTCTGTAGGTCAGGCTGTAAGTAAGGATAAAAGAAAGTAGATGAATTTAAAGAGCCTTTAGTGTCCCTGATTTCTAGTTCTGAAGGGCTTATACCATCAATGTTGCCGATACATATGTGTTATTTAATGAAGGGGAACATTGGCATTAACATTTTGACAGAATTATTACAAAGAAAACAATATGAACGGATACTCTTACAAAGTACAACGGGAACAAGACTAGGTGTTAGGGCATGTTGAGTACCTTCTGCCTTAATTAAAGACACCCGCATTGTAAATATATAAGTCTTATCCAAGTAAGTCTCGTTCTCAAATAGAGAATCAAGATAATGACAACGTGACTAGGTTAATGAACTGTCGACATTCAAACCGCAGAAAGAAATAGTTCTTCCTAATATGTGTATGTAGCCTCCTTTCGAAACACTGAGTTGTACGTTTATCCGTCAGCAGTCGCCATCTAACATAGACATCGTAATATTTGAAGTAAGGTAATGCATATTATGCGACATGTAGACACCGCTGGACGAAAACCCAGGATGTTACTATAGTAGCATTACCGCCAATAGAGGAGTATTGCTTGTCATAAAAAGCTTGCCAAAAGTCTGCTGAAAACTCTTGCCACCGGAATTAGCAATGCTACTGATGGCACGATTAATCTCTTAGTTGTATAATGACACTGTTAGCAGCATTCAGAGCCTGCGATGAAACGTCTCGTGAAATTCCGGAGTGCAATACAACTGCAGGTTTTCTTATTATTAATAGGTATTCGGATAAATCTTAATACAGACGCATTTTTATCGGTTTGTGTGTAAACAAAATTATAAATGTATAAATATGTTTTCCTTTGTAATCGTTTGCAGACAAGGATGGAATAATTGGATAATGTTCCTGCCGACACAACCACATATGTATGAGGTAGATCTTCCTCGAATTTTAAATCTGTTTACTTTTGTGCTGTATATTTACTGTTACCGGTAATGCTTTAATGCATTTTCTGATGTTCACATACTGGAAAACGTGTTCGTGCATTGATATACTTACTGCTGTTAATATAGTAACTGTACACTGGCTTTGCACACGAATTCCTTCCCATAGGATTAATTATATAGGCATGTGCCATTTTTGACTTCGTGTGATTTATTAGAGCTGAAAACCTTATAAATAATCCAGGCTACAGTATTTCACTGCAATTAATGAATTTGTCGAAAGACACCTGCTCGTAAATGTAACATGACACAACAATAATAGCAATTATATTTCTATATTGCAATCAAGGCTCTCCTTCCCCTTCTCCATCTACATTATATGACAGAACACCTACTGTTCATCCATCGGTAAACAACAAGGAGAACAACAATCGGTTATTATTTTGTACCGAGTCAGCATACACATACATTTAGCAACGGGTTACAAACAGCGCATTGCCAATCGGAGTGATAGGAAGTACAAGGTACGACCATCGTTTTACTAGAGGGGGTATCTATTAGTCTACATGAGACTTCAACGGTTTGCCAAGCACGACACATTATCAGTGAAGTGATATTTATTTACTAGAGGGGGTATCTATTAGTCTTTATGAGACTTCAACGGTTTGCCAAGCACGACACATTATCAGTGAAGTGATAATGTGTCGTGCTTGGCAAACCGTTGAAGTCACATGTAGACTAATAGATACCCCCTCTAGTAAACAAATATCACTTCACTGATAATGTGTCGTGCTTGGCAAGCCGTTGAAGTCTCATGTAGACTAATAGATACCCCCCCTAGTAAATAAATATCACTTCACTGATATTTATTTACTAGAGGGGGTATCTATTAGTCTACATGAGCCTTCAACGGTTTGCCAAGCACGACACATTATCAGTGAAGTGATATTTATTAACTAGAGGGGGTATCTATTAGTCTACATAAGACTTCAAATGTTTGCCAAGCACGACACATTATTAGTGAAGTGATATTTATTTACTGGAACTGAACAAATAGTATTTGTCACACTACAATGTAGATAGATAGATAACGCCTCAGAAACAGTACTGATCATGATACGATTAACGTCATATGAATTAAAAAACGAAATAAATCACTATCAGCTTTGAAATAATGCAAAATAATGTCCTTTTGATTATTAACTTGGACAAAACACTCTTTGTTTATGTAATAAAATTCGAAATCAATATAATTTGTAAAATACGTTTCACACGGACCAAAACCCAGATATATATTCTTTGTCAATAAATAACAACTTCATAATCTTGAAGCAATAATTAACGTTCCTTAAAGTAATTAAAGGGTACATGCTATCATATTCCTAATTATATAGATCAAGTGCGAAAACCCCCACATACCTGTTTAGATTTATATTGAACTACTAGAACAGAAAAAATAGTAAATAAATATTGTAGCATTATGTCATCGATTATACTACATAATATTTGGCCTATAACGTTCTTGTTTAAGACGCTTTAATGTTTTATGCAGGTTATTCACTCTAAGTACAATAAACATATTTATAAGTGTGGATATTTTTCTCCAATGAGAAAGAAAACGGTGTCTTTTGAAAATACTCTGTCCACATCACATAG